GTGCCTGAACGTTACTGTTCCCTATCGAGGCTTTCCACGAGTGTTCCTACTGTTTGTTCAAACTTGGGTCCTTTTGGCTGGTTGGTGCGGCGGGATTCTTCATTCTGAAGATCCTGTGGCCCTCTGGAAGGCGCGTTTAATTTTGGAATGGCCTTTGTAAGCTTGGTTGGACATCCAATAGATCTGATGTTCAGTGGCAGTATTCGCTCGAAGCGTTTTGGCTCGAGCCATTGTGGGATACGCCATCGTATACTTAGCACTTCTCGCCAAGCAAATGCCTGTAACCGATATAGTCAATATAACGGTTTCAGGTTCCACCTTGTCCATTGTCGGTGGGACAGGAAAGTACCCTCCACGCGAGCTGCCTCCTCATAATCTAAGTCTCACTGTGTTTAGGAAGATATTGCGATTGAGCATTCCGACGCGTGGTGTTGGAACATATTCTGTAGTCTTACGAGGCGGTTCTGGTTCAGGAGGGGCTGGACGTGGAGGTACAACGGTTGAAGCTCAATGGGGTGTGCAAGATGTTGCGAGATCAGAAGTTGTGTTGTATCTCTTGGTCGGGAACAGAGGTGATGCTGGAGGTGGAGGAGCCTCAATCATTTGGATGGCTGAGGATTGTTCTCGGTTGGCAGTTGCTGGCGGAGGTGGATCTGCTGAATACTATCTTGGTGATACGCCAGGTAGCGGGGTGCAGGGCGGTTTGGGGGGCAGTATTCACTGTAATGGGGGGCTTTGCGCAAGTGGCGGAGGAGGAGGTGGGGGACCTCTGTCAGGAGGGCAACAAGGAGAGTCCGGCGGCTATGGAACCGAGGGCGGAAATGGTGGCGGCTCTTTGGATTGCCCTGACCATCAACGGAGCTCATCTTACAGGGGAGGCAACGTTGGTTATCCTTCTCGTGCTGGCTATCCTTTTATCTGGTCGGAGCCAGACGTAGGTGGTGGTTGGGGAGGGGGTGGAGGCAACGGTTGTGGCGGTGATTCTGTTAAGATGCTCTTTCCAGGAGGCGGTGGTGGAGGCGGCGAGGTTGGTGGCAACGGAGGCAATGCTTACGATGAAATGAACCTCACAGGTGGTTCTAGCGGCAACTCAACGATCGCACGGGACTCTAAGGGTTTCATAGATGGCAAGATAACCCCTGGGAAACAGTTCGATCATGCACCTGGTAAAATAAGTATCACACTTCAGTGTTCTTCTGATTTCAGCCCGAGCTCGGATTCTTGGGGTTGTGTAGCAGTGCAGACGCCATCGCCACCCATACCAGTTGCACCAACGCCTTTGCCACACATGCCAGGAGCAGGATACGGAATAGATCATGAGTGGATTGTTTGTGTTTGTTTGGCTATTGTAGTTGATGCCCTTTGGTGTTGGTTCCGCAAGTGCAGGCGCGCCCCCCCCCGGCGCTTTCGCCACTGTGCTTGCGTTCAGCATCGGCTCCAGCATCTCGGGCTTCTACATTGTTCGACATAACCCTGCCAGTCTTCATGATCCTGTGGTGTTCTACGTGTCCCTGCTGATCATCATTGTTCTCATCATCCCAGGCTCACTCCTCGCGAATACGCTTGCTAGACGTTCAAGTGCACAGCGCGAGGAGCGCACCACCGAGATGCGCGAGGGTCTCGACGCGTTCTGCGCTCGCGAGGCGATTGACGAGTTTTTGAAGTCTCGCGCTGACACCAAGGTCTTTCCGCAGCTTGGCGATGAGCTCGTCGAGAAGATAAAGGCGAATTCTCCACAGAACACGGACTATCTCCTTGTATCTGCGCCAGAGCATACCAAGGAAAAAGATCTTGAGGTTCTCAGCCACGCCCGCGCATTCATCAAGGAGATTGGTCATGACAATTTGGCTGGAGACGCCAAAGACAGATTCCACACGCAGGTGATGGACAAAGCACGCATGACTCAAGAATTGAAAACCTGGCGGGAGGCCTGGAAGGGAAAAGTCTGCGAGGGAGTTAAGCAAGTGAAGCGTTTCAGGCCGGCCTCTGAGATAGTCTTGCTCACTATCGACGGCGGTCCCGAATGCCAGTGGGAGCTGGAGGAGCTGAAGACCAAGATCATACCACAGTTCACAAATATCCGACTGAGGCAGCATACAGATTTTGAGTCTTTCGTGCGCTCTTTCGTTTCCCCTGAATGAGGCTTGCGAGCACACCTCCCCCAGCTATATGTACGTGTACTGGTGCATGCACTCACCCTCAATACAACAACCCGAAGAAGATCTAGTCGCGCCGGGCCTCGCTAACTGCATAAGACGGGCCGAGAGGACCCTCCCTTGAGCGCCACGAGAAGGCCCAGGACGGACCCAGACGGCCAGAAGGCGGCGCCCATATGAGACGGCGCGAGAGAGCATCAAGGCTGCCCACCAGGGCGCCTACAGGAAAATTTTCGGAGCGTGAGAATTCACGAAGCTGTGAGTTTTGGATGCGTTGCGTATTTGTGTATGGCTGTCCTTCTTTCTCTCTCATTCTTCCTGCACGCTAATCTTGAAGGATCAAGGTGCATGGCTCGAAGCGCCACAGCAGTCTTGTGTGCGCATGTCTGTCTGTCTGTCTGTCTGTCTGTCTGTCTGTCTGTCTGTCTGTCTGTCTGTCTGTCTGTCATTCTGTCTGTCTATGTATATATATATACACATATATATGGGTGTACGCATGCATGTATGGGAGAGAACGCGCTTCACGGGCGCTTGCCTTGGGAACATTCGGCGGTTCGTTTCGAACCGGGAGGTGGCCCCCCCAACACTCGGCGCCGTCGATGAAAACCAGGGGGGCTCCCCTCCCCCCCAAACCACACCCCTCCCGACCCCCCCCCCTCCCAAGGGGGGGGTGGGTTTCAACCCCCCCCCCTGGCGCCGGCGCCGCAGCCGCCAGCAGCGCCGACGGCGGGGACGCAGCGACGATGACCAGAGGCAGCCCAGGGGGGGGGGGTTCAACCCCCCACCCACCCTCCCCCGGCGCCCAGGGGAGGGGGGGGTTCAAACCCCCCCCCTGGCGCCGGCGCCGGCGCTGGCGGCGGCCAGCAGCGCCAGCGCTGGCGCCGGCGACGGCGGGGACGCAGTGACGATAACCACCACTACCACCACCACCACTACGACCACCACCACCGCCTCAACCCACCACCACCACCACCACCAACCCACCACACGACCACCACCACCACAGCCACCACCACCACCACAACCACCACCACCACAACTCACCATCACCACCACGACCACAAAAACCCACCACCACTACCACCACCACCATCACCACAATCCACCACGCCACCACCACCAGCACCACCACCACTACCAGAAGAACAACCCACCACAACCGCCACAAACCACCACACCACCACCAAACCACCACCGCCACCACCACCACCACCAGCACCACCCCCACAAACCATTGCCACCACCACAACCCACCACCACCACCACAAACCACCACCACACCACCACAAACCACCACCACCCACCACCACCACCACAAACCACCACCACACCACCACCGCACCACCACCACACCACCACCACCACCCACCACCACAACCACCACCACCACCACGACAAACCACCACACCACCACCACCACAACCACCACCACCGCCATCACCACCACCGCCACCACCACCACAACCCACCACCACCACCGTCGTCGTCGTCGACGCTGCTTGCCGCCGCCGCCCGCCGCCCCAGGCGGCGCCGGCCCAGAAAAAGAAATCGTCGTCCCCGCCGCCGCCACCGCCAGACGAGGAGAGGGAAAGAGGAGAGGTAGGGGTGGGGGGGGTCTGGTTCCAACCCCGCCCCTCCCTCCAAACGACCACAGAACGCGCTCTTTCGTATGTAAGTATGCATGTGTGTCTGTATGCATATATTTGTGTATGCATGGCGTGCATGTGTGTATGCATGTATGTACGTATGTATGTATGCATACATGTATGCATGTGTGTATGTATGCATGTATGCTTACATGAATGTATCTGTTTATGTGTGTGTATGTGCATGTATGCGTCTGTCGCAGGCGGGAGTCCCCTCCGTATGGAGCCCGAACCTCATGTTGGCAATCCGAGCGGGTCATCGGCAACCTGTAATTGTCACTTTTGGGCTCCTCGAGCTTGAGTATGGAGGAAGTGTCAGGCGGGAACCTCGTCTGTGAGTGAATTCCAAGGAAGTCTCAAGCGGGAACCCCCTCCCTATGGAGCCCGAGCCGCATGTTGGCAATCCGAGCGGGTCATCGGCAACCTGTAATTGTCGTCACTTTTGGGTTCCTCAAGCTTGAATATGGAGGGAGTCTCAGTCGGGATCCTCATCTACGAGTGAATTGCGAGGAAGTCTCGGGCGGGAGCCCCGTCCTTTTGAGGCCCACACTTCAGTTGGTGATCCGAGCGGGTCATCGGCAACCTGAAGATGTCGTCATTTTTGGGCCAAAATTTAAGCCTCCAGCGGTCTGCGCGGCGATTCTCCGCCATGACGGGTCCCGCACCTCATGTTGGTAATCCGAGCGGGTCAACCGATTCTCGTAACTTTCGTCACCTTTTGGGCTCCTCGTAACTTTCGTCACCTTTTGGGCTCCTCAGCTCCTGCGGCCTGAATACGGGGGAAGGGCTCCTCAGCTCCTGCGGCCAGAAAACGGGGGAAGTATCAGGCGGGAACTTCGTCTGTGAGCGAAGTGCGGGTCGCCTCGTCTGAGCTGGTCGTCGGCAAATTTGTTGTCATGGGCCTGCGTGCCCGGAGGGGCGATTGAGGAGGTGACGACGACGACGTGACAGCGGCCAGGCAGGGGTAACCCCTTGTGTCCGGGCCAGGGGTGGTAACCCATCTTTGGTCAGGGGTAACCCTTTGTCTCCGGGCCGCCAACCCCTTGTCTCCGGGCCGCCGGTGGTAACCCATCTGCGGCCGAATCGGGCGCAGGGGTAGCCCCTTGCGTCGTGGCTTGGGGTGGTAACCCATCCGCGGCCGAATCGGGGGCAGGGGTAACCCTTTGTTTCCGGGCTGGCGGTGGTGACCCATCGTCGGCTGAATTGCCGGAGGACCAGACTCACGCGGGACCATGCGCTTTTCGTCGCCAAATTCGCCAAGGCCTGCGACGAAGGCGGGGGGGACGACGTCCAGAAGAAACCGTGGGCCGAGAGATAAGTGACACAAGTGCTCTTGCTGGGCCAAGGCGGCTCGGTGAAGACGCGCGTGGTGCAGAAGATCGTCTTCCCAGTGGTGGAATATTTGTGGCCCTCGCTGGCTCAGGACAAGGCCATCATGATGGTGGTGGCCTTCTCGAACGCGCAAGCGAATAATATCTCCACGGAGACGGTGGAGGCCAGAACCCTGCACAACGCTTGCGCTCTGCGAGTCCAGAAGTACATCAACGCGAAGATGAGGCCAGGGATTATGCAGAAGATGTTGAAGTGGTTGTGGGAGCACGTCCGCGTTCTGGCCATCGAGGAGGTGAGTATGTTGGCGGCAGCGCCCTACAACGCGCTGGACATTCGCGCGTGCCACGGACGAAACGACGCGCATGACGTGCAGGGGTCCACCTGCGAGCGGCCGCGCCACCACTTCGGGCGCGTCCCCATCGTGCTGCGCTTCGGCGATTTCCTGCAGCTGAAGCCCGCGGGCAGCATCGGCCTCCTGACGGATGTGAACGAGCTCCTGGACGACGGATGCACGTGCAAGTACGCGGAGCCGCCGACCGTGGAGATTCAGCGCGCCATCGAGGTCGTCTCTCAGATCCGCTGCGTTTTCGAGCTGAAAGGCACGAAGCGCCTCGAGCCCGGGGGCCCTCTGATTTCGTTCCTGGGCTGCACGCGCGAGCGCAAGCCCTTCCCAGCGGATGTCTGGTCCGCCTGGGAGAAGACGTTGGCGTCGGACAGCCGCGGCGACCTGGGCCCTCGGCGCCAGCGCGAGGAGTTTCGGCTTTCGGAGACGCTGGCGAGGTGGATCAACGCGCGCGCTCGCCGCGACGCGCGGCGCCCGGGCGCGCCCTTCGTTTCCTTGCAGGCCGTCGACGAGCGCACCGCGGTTCAGGGCGATCCCGACGCGGGCCGGCGCCCCCTGAACGTCTCGAACGCGCGCAAGACGGGGGACATCCGCGGCGTCTTGCCGGCCCGCGTCGGCACGGAGGTGCGATTCGTGGCGGTGCAGGAAGAGCTGAGGGAGAAGTTGGGGCTCGTGCAGGAGCAGCGGGCCACCGTCGCGTCCTTCGACTTCCACCGCGGGGGCGAGCAGCGGCGCGAGGAGTGCTCGGCAGGCCAGCTCTTTCGCCCCTGGTTCCCACCGTGGGGAATCTGGTTGCAGGTGCACGGCTTCGAGGAGTCTCCGATCTACCAGGAGGTCGCCGAGGTGCTGCGACAGGGCGCCGAAGACGCCGACGGCGACGGCCAGGCCGAGGCGCGGGCTCGGAGCTAGCTGATGTTCAGGCCCAGCGAGCAGGAGTTCACGTGGCAGAGCTCGAGGCCGCGCATTTTGCGCCGCTCGGGGTTCACCTTGACTCGCGCGTCTTACCTCGCCCCCGCGCTGTCGCGGGGCCGGGCGCTGCGCAAGGGCGTCGCCATCGACTGCGCGAGGGGCGAGGGCGCTGGCCGCGCGGGCACGTCGGACAACCAGTGGTGGCTGCGCCTCTGCGTCGTGCCCCCCCGCGCCACGTGCGCGCTGACCATGCTGATCCTGCGGCCGCCGTCGCGCGAGTTTTTGGGGCGCGGGCCGCCGGCGTCCTTGCGGGGGGCGCTCGAGGAGTTCGATGAGAAAGCGAAGACCTCCAGGGGTGAGGCCGAGCAGCTCGCCGCGGAGCTTGGCTCCATGCTGCGTCCCGCCTGAGCGCCGCGGCGCGCTGCTTGAGGCCCGCGGGGTTGTCCCGGCGGTCTGGCCCGCGGGGTTGTCCCGGCGGCCCTTGCGCCCCGGCGGCCCGCAGGGTTGCCCTAAAGGCGTGGCCCGCGGGGATGTCCCAGAGTGGCATGGCGATCTAGCCGTCGGCGAACGCGCGCGCGTTGGCCGAGGCGGCGACGGCGCCGAGGAAAATCGACTTGCTTGCCCCGACCTGGGAGAAAGGAGGTGCACGTAGAGGAGCGGCGGGAGGATATGGGGGGGGGGCAGGGGCAGAGGGAGGGCGATGATGAGGAGGAGGTGAAGAAGGAGGAGGAGGAGAAGGAGGAGGAGGAGGATTGATAAAAAGGATGGGGAAAAAGGAGAGGACATAGTTCAGGGCGAGAGGAGGATGTCCGCCAGGGCGACGGGGGAAGGGCTAAGGGTAATCTAAACAGATTATCATGTGGGGTCTCGCCGTCGGAGTAATTCCAAGTTCGCCCCCTTGTCTTCTTTTGTACAACCGACCGCAACAAAGGCCCTAGGAAAAAAAACAGGAAGCCATCGAGGGCCCCGAATCGTTGAAAACCTTGCGGCAGTTATTGATTTTTGCGTTTCCGCAGTTCCCCTCTATATGATCCCGAGGTTGGCGCAGGGCCTCCAAAAGAGTCCTTGGATGCAATAAGTGGCAATGATGATATTCCATGTGTTCGCCCATCAA